TAATTTGCAAGGGCGTCAGTAGCGTAGCAATTACTTTCGCTGCTGTCATTCCAGTTACTTTTTATAGCCACTGCAGCGGTGGTCTGTTACCCTGATTTCACGCAGACCACAGGCTGGAGGACCACAGGCTGGAACCACACACATGCTCAGGCCTCGGGCTTTGGGCTGCGTCCTCTGTGTGTGGGTCGTCTCAGCTTGAAGCGCCAGCCTGTGGTCCCTCCGAGCCCCGTTGGCGACACGGACGTTGGCTCGGACCCCTGTGAGCCCACTCCCCGCTCTGACCCCTGACCTCACTGATTCCACATGAGCATGGGAGGCAAACTTGGAGGGGCCAGCAAGCTTCAGTGTTGAGCACCATTAAAAAATATCTGCAGACACGTGGAACCAGGGTGTAGGAGTGACCGTCCTGCACACGGGAAGAATGTTTCTCGGATGGGGCTGTCACAGCAACGTAGCGATGAGATTTGTAAGCGCCAATAAGAAGCCGTGTCCTCCCGAGTCTCGTGCAGGATTTGGGTTGATATTTTTATGATCGACCACCTTAGACCCAGGACGAGAAAAGCAGTGGTAAAGCAGTCGACAGGTGTTTGTGGACAGGTGCATGTGCAGGGTGCTCAGGGTGCCGTGGGTGAGGTTGGGTCTGCGATGCAAGGAGCTCTGTCCTCAGCCCCTTGGGAAGGGGAGCCTGGAGCAGCGTGAGGACGAGTGCCCACAGGACATACGCAGGGCCACCAGCGCCAGGAGTGGCCTTGGAGGTGGGGAGGGCTGCTCTGGCCACTTGCGGTTACTGGAGAGGGAGCAAGCAGGGAACCTGGGACGGCCCGAGGGCTTGGCTGGGTTGTGGTGGCAATTCTCATTCCAGCCCCCGCAGGTCAGGACAGGGTGGCAGAGAGATGGCCCGTCCTTTCTGCAGAATAATCCTCTGTAGGCTCATCTTTACAGAATTGGGTTTCAGCATGCTCGAGGTCTTACGATTCCTTCCTCGGCTTCAAAGAGAAGTCCATCTTCTGGAAATAAATTTCCTCATAAATATTTTCATTACCTTATTTCATAAGCAAGCTGTTTTCACAGCCCTTCTTGGGGTCATGTTCCCTTTCTCTTCTCATGTTATTTAAATACCTTTTCTCATGTTATTTAAATGTGTGCCTTGTTTTCCCGCCATCTTTGGTGATAAAGCTGGTTTCTGCCTCCTCCTGTGAAATGTCGTATCTTGGAGGCATTTTCCATCGGCTGCTTCTGCTTAGCTAAGTCCATTTTGGCTGGATTCTCATATATTTTTTAGTTTTTTAAAACGTCTTTAATTCCCCAAACTGTTTCTAGACATTTTAAAGAAATGACAGAAGCATAAGATGACGTATGAATGTCATTTTTTAGAAAGTCAAAATATTCAGACATTTAATCTGTTATTTGCCTGTTTCTTTGTAACCTCTAACTTATACTCTGAATTCTCAGTTACCTGTGTCCCTTGCCACTTCCCTTCCTGCAGGGCCCTCGCCGGGGTGTACGTGTCCTCCGTGAACCTTGTTCTCTATGCTTTTTCCTTCCTCTGCCTCCTAGGGTGCCTCCTCTAGCTCTCGAAATTCTATATAATTAATAACCAGTTTTTGTAGTGGTTCTTTAGCCCAGTGTGTTTCACACTCTGGACTGTGACCCATTATTAGATGGTGAAGCCAATTTCATGAGACACACCCAGATACAAGAATGTATCTGTTCATCTCATAGAGCGAGGGGTGAGTTAGTATCAGTTGTGTGTGTGTGTGTGTGTGTTTGCATTGTGACATCGGGGTCATATCGTAAGATGTGTGTCATCCGTAGTAGTCTGACATACTGCTTAGCTTTTATGAAAGAAATACTGTTGTTTGTAATCTGTCTCTAGTGAAGTGGTTTTGTGCCTTGGGGAGATTGTCACCAGGCAAGGCAGGGCCCACCCAACAGAGTCCTGTTGAAGATGTTCCTGTGTCAAAGGAAAAGGTAGCAGTTGGGTACCTGTCAGTTAAGCTCCTACAGTCTTTGGATGTTGAAGAAAGATGGTATTTCTGTGAAGTCTCGAAGGGCTTCTCTTAGTTTATTTTTACTCATTATTTCAAATCTCAGCTCAAATACTCCTTCTGCAGGGAAGCCTTCCCTGACCCCCCGGTCTAGATAAAGTCTCCTCCATCAGATGCTTCCATGGAACAGCATTTCTCACCATGGAGCACTGAGCACAGGTTTTATTGATACATTTATAGTATGATTGTTTGATTATCGCCTGCCTCCCTCCACCTCCTAGAAGAACATGACTCCACAAGCGTGGGCCTCAGGCCAGTCTTTGCTCACCTGTCCCTGCAGGACGAGCATGATGTCCAGCACATAGTCAACATCTTGTGTACACTGATGGTTTGTACGTCTTAGTTTCCCCACGATGGATTGACATTAGACAGCTTGACATTCGACCCTCTGCTGTCATGGTGTCTCACTCCAGAAAGCGGGTGGGGGTTTCACAGCACAAAGAGATGTGCAGGTGGGAATGCGATCGATTTAAGCTTCCAGAGCTCAACTTGGCCGCTTGCTCTCCTTGTACACAGCAGGTGAGCAGCAACAGGTGTGAGCAAAATTACGCTATGAGATGAAACACCTCTTGGGTGATGACTCTTCTTGGCTGTGGGTTGGGTGGGGGCATCCATCATGGTTCCTTGTTCCATAGTTTAAAGTTCCTTGGTGCAGTGACCAGTATTTAGGACATTAAACAAGTTCGTTAGAACCAGCTCATTTGAATTCTGTCCTAGGTGCAGCTGGTGTAGATTTTATCAAAGGTTTTTCAAAGCCCTGTTGTGTGGTCATCTGTGAGGGGTAAACTCACGCGGTGAGGAGTAGGGTCTGCCTGTTCTTTAGCGCAGGTGGGTGTTTTTTTCCTTCTCATCTGTGAAAATATGTGAGGGAGAAGGCAGGAAGATGGGGAGAGAGTGGGAGATCCCTAAGTATTTTTAGGGTTGCCTTTGCACGGTAAACATGTTTCCAATAAAATGTTTTGGAAGCATTTTATTTTAGGTGGAAGGAAACGCTGACACTTTGACCAGCCTCCGTAGCCAGACATTTATCAGGGCCACGCTGTCATCGCTGGAGCCAGGCTCGTGGGCTTTGGAACTGATTTCCTATTTGAGAGGCCAGGCTTCCGTGACCCCAAATATCATTTCCACGGCAACCAGCTGTGATGAGATATGGGGGCGTTTAACCTCGCAGGACAATTGCAACAAGAAGCAGATGAGCTTTTAGATGGAAAATTTACTCTTCCGTCTTGAACAAATCATGTGTAACCGCATCTCAGTTTGCTCAGCCCTGAAGTAGAGGAAGGGACGGGACGTTCTTTCCATGGTTTGCCGAGGGACTCTTGGTGGGAAAGCGCATTTGTAGCTACACATGCTGTTGCTATGCCGTGGTGGTGTTGATCTCAACTCAACAGCCCAAGGGTTGACACGCTGCAGAAAAGCTATCACTCCTCTTGCTCGCCTGTTCCCGTACAGCCCTGCCTTTCCCCTCTGACCTTGGCTCTGACTGCCCACCTGCCCCCACACTCCATTAGTCAAACTGACCTCCCGGCTGGTCCCTGAGCGCACACACTCGTGCCCACCCCAGGACCTCGGCGCTGCAGTGCCCTGCGCTCTTTCCCAGGAGTTGCGTGCCCGCTCCCTGCCTTTGTTTAGGTGTCTACTCAAAGTCACCCTGTTAGAGGAACCTTCTAGATCCCCTGTATAAATCAGCAACCCCAGTACCCCCTGCCGTTTCAACAAGCCTTATGTGACTTCATAGCACTTACAACCACTGGAAATTTTATGAGCTTCATGTGGGCAAGTTTGCTATTATTGGGGGATTTTTTGTTTTTGTTTTTTTTGAGTTTGTTATATTCACAGAACTGGAGCATCATAGGCCATTGAATCCTCATGAAATACGTTGTTTTTTGTTTGTTTGTTTGTTTTGTAATAAACTTAATTTCAAAGAACGAATAACTTGTCCAAGATCACGTAGGCAGCAAGTGGGGACAGTAATTGATGGAAACCCAGGGTTGACACCAAGTCCTGAATTGTCTCTTTGCCTCCAATTCTTCTTTCCTTCTACCTTTTTTCTGCTGTCTGAGCATCATGCCTTCTTCACTCGTTTCTCTGGCTCTGCCTTTGTTATAACCTGAGCTCGTCTAGACTTAACCCACCTCGCTGAGCTCTTTACCCTGCATGCCTGTCTGCCGTCAGCACTGCCCCTGCCCCGGGTACCTGGTAAAAACTCTGCAGAGCGTGGTGTGTTCTCGGAGAACCTGTGCTTGGCTTTCCAGAGTGGCAGCATATGCGCGGGTTCAGGTCGGCGTGTCCATGCATGGTCAGGTGGCCTTACCTGCCTTCCCTCCAGGAAGAGAAAAATTATGACATGTGTTTTAGGAATGGCCAGGTCCCCGCTGTGCATGCTGGGGGCACCTTTGTGAGCCACACCATTCACTTCTCCCTGTGGGGTCACATGTGGTGACAGCTGCAAGAAGGACCCCAGAGACAATCTCACTGAGAGATGTTTTGATATCTTGTTCTTTGCGGGGGGGTGGGTGGGGTGGGTGTTATTTTTTGTTTAGACATGTACTTTTGTGTTACCTGATGTTACATGGTGGGATACCTTATGTTTAATGTATACATTATCTTTTCACCCTACCTGAGATGCTTTGGGCATTACCGTAATCCCTAGAAAGGTGGGACAAGCAGAGAATATCTCCTTTCATAGAAAACATAAATGGTGCCATAGTTACTTTAATTTTGCTTTGCTCACTGGGTGGGTACCTGCACTCCCAGCCTTTAATTCTCACGTTGGAAGCAGCAAACATCTAGTTTCCCGTTCTCAGGCCCGTTGCCATGAGGCTGCTGGCTCGGGCTGCTTCGGCAGGTTCGTTGTTTGTGACGAAGCCGTGGACACTGTTTCTAGAGGTCACACTTACTGCAGTGTCCGTGATGAGCACTCTGGGCACGTTCCCCGCCGTCCCATACCTTCTGCTTTGCTTTTTTTTTAGGGAAAGTACGGTGGCCGGACTTCAACCAGGAGGCGTACGTCGGAGGGACGATGGTCCGCTCTGGGCAGGACCCCTATGCCCGCAACAAGTTTAACCAGGTGGAGAGCGATAAGCTTCGAATGGACAGAGGCATACCCGACACGCGGCATGACCAGTGAGTACCTCGCCAGGCGCCAGGTGGGGGTGGCTTCACTCGCTTTTACGCTGTGGCGCTGGGCTTTCCCGTTGCCCCAGGCAACTGAACGTGCGCTGTGTCTGTGCAGCGCTGTCCGACTGGGACATCCCGAGGCATGTGGCAGCGGGAAGCAGGGCCGGTGGGTTGCTGGTCCCAGAGCATGGGAGTCAGAAAGAGAAAGTTGCATCACTGACCTCTTTTCTACTGATCGCTTGTTATTTTTAAGATCCGTTCACAAAAATCAAACTTTTCCATTGTTCACAACCTTGGAAGGAAGAAAATCTAAGTTCCTTTGTATTGGTACAGCTGAAGTAGGAAATGTGCCAGAGACCAGAAAGGGGAAATTGACTGGCCAGCAGGGTGGACATTAAACTGAGCAGAGGCACAGGACGCAGAGGGGACAGGTGACACCTCTCCACACCTTGTACTGAGAGAAAGCCTCTTAAGAGTCCACATGCGTCTTTTTATTCTTTACAGACCTAGGACTTGTGGGTGACAGGCACCCTGGGCTTAGCTCAGGAGGTCTGCATGCATTTTAAAGAGTGTTTGTCACCACTTACCAGAAGAGTGATATTCATAGCCCTTGCTGTCACTCTGTACCTTTAATCCTTGCTGATAAGAAGGTTGTTCACATCGGAATTCTTAGTGGATTGGTTCTCGTTTCAGATTATTAAAAAAATAAGAAGGCGCATTTTGAAGGCAGCTGTTTTCTTGGGTGCTTGGCAGGTCTTCCCACTCTCTACGTTGCTTTTAGAGTTGCTCATTCATCAGGGAATGGAATGTAGATATCTGCCGAGCACCAGGCTGTGTGCTTGGATTCCGGGGTTCCAGGCGGAAAAGCCTGGCCCCTTTCCGGCTGCTGTCCCAGGCAGGCCCACCGAGACTCGGGGTGTGCGGCTCCCCCGGTTGGAGGGTCTGCTTCACGGCAGTGCTTTTGGGACACCCAGGAGGCTGGGAGAGTCAGGACAGGCCCCGAGAGGCGTGAGTCTTGGGCCGGGACACCCAGGATGAAGGCCAGTGCAGAAGCTGTGCCCTGGCATCGGGTCCGCCCAGAGAGCCAAGCAGCTGGCTTTTGCAGACGTGAGCTCCAGGGATTGACCAGGAGGCCGAGCTGGAGAGATGGAGCCCACAGTTGGCTTTGTGTTCTAAGTCAATAAGCTTACATGGAAAGAGGATTTTTCTCTTCTCTCCTACTCTCAGGGGTTTTATGGACAGTGTAGGTCCCTGTTAACTGCGAGGGGCTGCCTTTCTGAACAGCTTTCTTTGGGTTCCAGTCAGCTCTGTTCACTCAGAGCAGCTCATATTTAAGAAATTTGTACCTTTATAGTTCTTTAGGCTCAGACAAAAGAGTGTGTGCATGAATAGATAATACATGTGGGCACATATTGTATGTAATATTAAGAATCCCGTCATCTTTCTAAATCCACTCCAGAAGATTATCTTTAATTAATGTTTCCTATGGTTGATTAATTTCTTCTTTGAAGGCAGCTTTACTCAGTCCTTACGCTGTGCTCCTGATTAACTGTTAAATGCTGTGTCTAAAATAAGGGGTGCTAACCCCGGGATCTAAGGACCCCCAAGGAGCCACGCCATGGGCATTGGGACTCTATGAAGGTCTTGAAGCCAAAGCTGCGTGTGTGACCGTGGGCGTGTACACGTGTGTGTTTCTAGGGAGAGGATTTGCGCTTCTTTCAGTTGGTGCCAGGTGTGTACATCCCCACTGCCCCCGCCTCCCAGGCCCCACCAGGCTGACCCACCTCTGCCAGGTGACCCCCGGGGACCCACTCATACCGTCCTCACATCCACTAACGTCGACTAGAAGGTTGTCTTCGTTTCGCAGAGAAGCAGCCGAGGCACCTGGGATGTTAATAACCTGCCCAGTAATTAAGCGCTACTAGCTGAAGGCCAGAAAGGGTCACTAAAGGTTTCAAGAAGGGCGTGGCCTAAACTCAGGGAAGTAAAGTCTAGCAGAACCTAAAAATCTTCCCCGGTGACTTTGGTCGACTGCTGGGAATGGCGTCTCCGTGGATGGTCTGGGCTTTGTCTCAGTGTCTGGTTTAAGAGCTAGTTTTCCACCAAGGCTTTACCTTTACATACATTCCCTAGAGCTGGCAGCTCATCAGCGAGTGGGCTGGGTTTCTCCTCTGCTGCCTCCCTGGCATGTCCCTATACAGGCCCCCAAAACTGTATGCACGTATATTTTTTTTCAAAATGTTTGAAATATGAGTTGATCCAAACAGATGTTTGAATATTCATCTTATGGTGTGGGATGCACTTTAGGTGGGTTTAATTTTAGTTCCAGCTACTGTGTCATATTCATTTGCATGCGTTAAAGGGGCAGCTGGGATGGCTTCCACATTTGTTGGATTTTGGCTAAATTATAGTCTATCCAAAAGTCAGTCGTATGCCTAGAGCTGAACCAATTTAATGCCTCCAATGTAAGCTCTAGAATAACCATTCTTGTTGAATGTCAGGTTAAGAAGATCAAGTTACCTATTTGAATTTTCCCCCAGTATGTCCGATAGAGCGCTGTTAAAGAATTTGACCTTCCCATCTGAAAATCTTTCCCTTTTCCTTTTTATCTCTGGGGTCTCTGCCTTTGTGTATGTAGATCTACAGAAACGCTTGCACAGTGGAACTCTGCCTTCCGTTGTGACAAAGCCAAAGGCGGTGCAAGTGCAGGTTAATGAAGAACACGGTTCGGGAGCCCCAAAGACCTGAGTTGAAATCCTAGACCCTCCAGTTCTGAACTCTGTGACGTTTGTCATCTTCAAGATGACATAACATGACTCCCTCTGTAACCTGGGAGGATTGAACACAACCAACGTGTGCAAGGAAGGGCTGGTTCCTCCTTCCCGAGATTCTTCTCAGGAGCCACCTCAGTGAGCTGTCCCCAGACCACTTCTCTAGGAGTGCAGCCCCCTCCCCACTCGGTTTTTAGTTCTTGTCGCCACCCCCGCACCATGCGTTTCACCTGTTTCTGTCTTTGTCTGTCTTTGCTCATCAGAGTAGTGAGTTGTTACGTGCAGGGCTGTTACCTGGACAGCTCCCCACTCAGTTCACGCAACAAATGTTTGTTTTGTGAGTGATTCGCTTAGCGTGGTGCCTGGCGTACAGTGAATCTCTAAATGAGGGGAAGAGTCAGAAAGGAATAAAGGAGAGTGAAAGGGGCATATTTAAGCAGTAGGGGGCAAGTGAACTCAAGGTGAGCCACAAATAACCACACCGTGTTTATTCTCCCAGGATCAGAAAACATGCCATTACAATCTGCCCCTGTTGCCCTTAGGGACAGATATAGGGGCTCAGCGGGTCAGAGGCTCGCAAACAAATAAACAAACAAAAAAACTCTTGGATTGTATTTAATTTACCTTTTAAAGTGCATAAGAAATATTGTGCCAAGAAGAAATATTTACGTGAAACCAGGAAACCTAGAAAAGCCTGCTGCGAGTGAAATACCAAATATTACGCATGGGATGTTTTAGGCTCTCTTAGATATTAGGAAGGATAGTGGAAACAGAGTTTTGTGTGTGTGCATTTTAAAATTAGATATATCATAGTTTTATATAATTTGGGGATACATGTGATAGTTTATATATGTGAGAGGATGGAGTCAAGGTAATTGGATATGCATCACCTCCAACATTTATCTTTTCTTTGTGTTGGGAAAAAGCATGGTTTCTCAACTTAAAAAAAAAAAGAAAAGTTCTTGTTTACCTTGCTTTGAGATTTCAAATAAATTGTCAAGACTTAAAAGCAAATTAAAGCGATGGGGATTCTGAAGGCGCCTTTCTGGACTACTTGTTTCTCGCCTCTCCCTGGTGGGAAGCTGTCGAGATTGCCCAGGCAGAAGGTAACCAGGAGCACTGGGGGTGGTGATGAGTGGTCAGATGGGACATCTTCCAAAGGTGGGGCTAGCAGGATGTGCTGATGGGTTGGAGGAGGGATACCGCTTAGAAGAAGGTACCAAGGATGGTGGCCAGAGCAAGGGAAGAGTTGGAGTTACCGTAACTGAGATTTGGGGAAAGCTGGGAGTGGAGCAGGTTTGGGGAAGTTTGGACATGTTAGTGCATCGCTGTGTGGGTGGACCTGTTTTGTAGGTGGTGAGAAATGTGTCTGGTGTTCAGGAGAAAGGTCTTAGCTAGAATATGAATTTGGAAGTGTTCAATGAATGGATGGTATTTAAAACCTTAAGACCGGATGTCAAACCCAAGGGAATGAATGCAGAGAGAGAGAGACCCCAAGGCCCAAGCCCCAGACAGTTTCAACATTGTGATCTTTAGCCGGGAGTTTAAAGCCGACGGCTAACACTTGAAGGACAGTCTAACACTGTAGACTGCGTACTATTTTAGGCTCTGTTCACATGATCAGGGGATATAATTTCATGAGACTGTGCGACTGTGAAGCTAAAAGGAGCCTTGGAGCAGTTGCTAATTCCGTGGTTCTCGGGCCAGAGTGGTGCCACCTACCCAGGGCGAGGACGGAAGTGCGGGGGTGGGGATTTGGGGGCTGTTAGAAAACCCGTGGGGCGTTCCTGGCATTTTCCACCAGGAGCCAGTGGGTACCAAATGTCTGCTGTAGCACAGGATGGTCCTGTGTTGTGGAGAAACTGTCCTATCCCAGACGCCACAGGACTTTCTGTCAACCCCTTATTTACTTAACTGTTCCCCCACCTAGTTAGTAAAAAAGAAAAAATCCATGTTGAAGTTCTGTCTTTGGTTGCTCTCCATTATTCCTGTCTGGTCTATCAGCCAGCCCTCACAGGCAGTGTTGAAAGCGATCGCCTCGTGAGCTTTGTAGATCGTACTGGCTCCACCGGAAGTCTCTCTGTCCCCCTGACCACAGCACACGAAAGAATGAGTGTGATGGCCTGAATTGTCTCCCCCTCCCCCGCCCATGTTCAGGTCCCAAGCCCCAACGTAACCATATTTAGAGATAGGGCCTTTATGGAGGTGATTAAGGTCAGATGAGGTCATAGGATG